TGAATGCAGGCGCACACACCTGCACACACACAAATAAGGTATGTAGGTCATAGTAAATAAGGTCCCACAGGGGTCTGTCTTGGGTCTGGTGTTGTTCAATGTGTTCATTAACAATTTGGATGCTGGCAGGGAAAACTTCTTGAGCAAGTTTGCAGATGACACGAAACTGGAAAGGATTGTGAATAGGGGTGCACCAAAAGAGATTTTTTTGGGCTGATACGGATGGTTGATTTTAAACGAGCCATATCAGCCAATACCAATCTGATTGCTGATGTGCAGCCTGGCAGCATGAAGAGCAGCATCTGGCTGGTAAGTCTGTTGTGAGGGAAGGAGAGAGGAGGGGGCAGATCGAGGCCCCTGCGGTGAGGGAGGGAATGGGTCTGGCACTGGGGCAGGGGCAGGTGCTGCACAGCCAGAGCAGGGCAGGGGACAGAGCTGTGGTTCGTCCAGGGTTTGTGGAGAGGGGGTGGCTCCCACCGCTGCGTGCACCCCGGGAGGACATGGGAGGCATGTGCCCCCAGATCTGTGCATGGGGCGAGGGCAGGCAGCTGGTGTGGGTGGGGGTGGCGCTGAGCTCTTCCCAGTGCGGGGGGCTGGGCCGGGCTGTGCTCAGGGGGGGTGGTGGCAGTGCTGGGAGGAGTTTGTGGGGGCTATGGCAAATTTTGTGGTGGCTGTAGTCCCCCACCGTAGCCCTCCTTCCAGCACTGCTGTTGTTCTCCCTGAGCGCAGCCCCAGCCCAGCCCCCTGCCAGGAAGAATCCAGCGCTGCCCCTGGCCCCAGCCCACAGCAGCAGCCTGCACATGCTCCCCATGACATCCTGAGGTGTGTGCAGCGGCAGGAGCTGCCCCCACCCTGGTGTCCCTCAGACGAGCTGCGGCTCCGTCCCGCACTCTGTCTCAGCTCGGCAGTGTCTGCCCTTGTCCCTGCCCCAGCCCTGGCGCCTACCCCACTCCCTTCCTTGCCATGGGGCCCTCTGTCTGCCCCCATCATACCCCTTCCTTTCCCCATGCCCCTTCCCCCACAACAGACTTACCACCCGGGCCTTGCTCTCCATGCTGCCAGGTTGCGCTTCTGGCCGCCTGAGTGCTGCACTGTGGCTGTGCACATGCGTGCAATATTTATCAGCAACATTATCTGCCACATCAGCCAAAAAAAGCAGACTGCTGATAATGTCAATGTTCCTTTTATGGGTGTCAATACGATATGGCACCGATGTATTGGTGCACTTCTAATTGTGAACATGTTGAATATGTGAGCACAATTCAGAAGGATCTCAACACATTGAAAATCTTAAGTAGAGCTAACAGGATGAAGTTCAATGAGAACAGATGCAAGGTGCTGCACCTCAGGAGGAATAATCAAAAACACAAACACAAAAGGAGGGATGTCTGGCTGGATGGGAGCACTATGGAAAAGAACTCGGGAGTCTTGGTAGGCCACAGGCTCAGTATGAGTCTGCAGTGTGATGCAGCTGCACAACAGGCACATATGGTTTTGGGCTCATCAGTAGAAACTTGGTGTAAGACACAGTATGTGCTAGTGCCTCTCTACCAGGCAGCTTTTTGACCTTATGTGGACTACTTTATGCAGTTCTGGGCTCCACATTTTAAAAAAGGTGTGGAGAAGTTAGAGATGGTCCAGAGTCTGGGCAACAAAGATAATCAAGGGCTTGGAAAACAAGTCCTATGAGGAGAGGCTGAAGGAGCTAGGCATGTTCAGCTTGTGGAAAAGGTGCCTAAAAGGGGACATAATACCAGTTTTCAAATACTTGAAGGGCTGCCATAAAGAAGAGGGAAAGCACCTTTTCTCTCTTGCTGTAGAGAGGAGGACACAGCCCAGCGGTCTGAAGTTGCAACAAAGTAAATTTAAATTGGATAGCCCTAAAAACTTTACTGTGAGACTAGTGAAGTGGTAAAATAGACTGCCTAGGGAAGTTGTGGGCTCTATATCACTGGAGGTGTTCAGAAAGAGGTTGGACAGGCACTGGCCAGGGATGATCTAGGTGTAGCTGTGCTTATTTTATACCATGGATATTTCGCAAGATTCTGGGCTTTGCTGGTTGCTCCTGCCCAAGCCCCCTC